TACCACATTAGAAATCGTGCAGATAATCGCATTCTGGATATATTTGATGAAAGGCTTCATCCTTTGAGTGTAAGTTTGTTGTTTGATTTTGTAAGTCTTCTAAATCTGGAGGGGGAAGTATACTGATTGTCATAGAGTGGAAAGTTGGAGAGAAAGGGGGGAGAAGTGAAAGAAGGGGAATAATGAATTTGAGTGAAGTATTCAACTAGACACAATGCATAGCAGATGAGAAAATGCACTTATGCTTGGGTGCTGTATAAGGCTGTCTGTCAAGATAAGTAAAAAAAAAAAAAAAATAAAAAAAAAAAAAATCATCAATAGATAAATGTGCTTACAGGGTTGCTGAACAGGTCACTTTTTACCTTCTGTTGAAAAGTAAGAGAGATAGGGCTGCAGGAGTGGAAAAGTTTATATAACAGAAAATGGGAAGTGAACATAATTGTGTAAGCAAGAGTCAAGAGAATATAGTTATTTTTGGTATTGTATTTATATATGATTTAGGCAAATTGTTTCAAAAGAAACAGATGGAGAAAGGCTGCAAGCTGTCTGAGTTTTCCTTGTAAGCTCAAAAAAAATCTTATGAGATTTGTAATTAGTTATCTGGTAATCAAATTATGCCTTTTGACATTATAAATTCAGAAGTTAAAGAGCAGTAATATTAGCAATGATGTGACCATTTGCCACTAATTATCTGTACAGATTGCCAACTTTTCTCAATAGCATTGAACACAGAACCAATTTTTTTACCCACTGACTGCAGATGTCTCAAATATATGTCATTTATCCATTATGTTAACATACTGGTGGCTTAGCAAGCACTTAGTTAGCAAGGAGTCAAGTATTAGTCGTGCCTATCTAACCTGTTGACTTTTTACCTACATTTTGTGGAAAGATTCATTTTTATTATTTAACCATTTTTATTGTTATTAGTATTTTATTGATATTATGGTTAGCATGATCTCAGTAATGATAGTAATGATAGCAGTATTGACATTGATGTGGAAAAAATCAATATTCCTGCAAATTCAAGAGAAATTTTGCACGGTCATGATTTATTGGTTATAAACTGAAGTCAGTAAGTTGAGCTTAAGGAATATTACTTATGGAGTGAGAAATTCTTTGCAGCTTATGAAGGTGCCTATTTAACAGTAAGCTAGGCCAGACAATACAATCTTTCAGAAGTAATATTTGAATTTAAAAAAAAAATTGTCAAGGTATTACTTTAAGTCTCCACATCAGAATACTAAGAGACCAATAGGCAGGTAACATATACTACATCTTTTCCTAAAGCAATATCTTTCTGTAGAATTCTTCCACAGTACTAGGAAATTTTACTTATGGGTGTAAATTTAATTGAGGTGAATATTTATTCAACATTGAAAGTTGTTAGTGGTACTTGTACTGTGGAGTTTGGATTTTTAAATTGTCTTTTTTTTTCTTATAAGATATAACTTGCAAATTATAATCATGCAAAAAATGGAAAAGCCTAATATATGAGAAAATCTCATTATCTCTTTGTTTCATGTCTGAGAAATTACTTATAGAAGGTAATGATTTATTTATAAGCAGACTGACATATGTCAGTTGTTGTCCTTACCTGTGAGAGTGTATTTTAAGCTGTTTTGTGTTATCCCTTATGCTGTATATCAACAGAATAGTTACATATCTGCCTATTTGTAATGCAGGAGGTTGAGAGAAGAATATAAATTCCTTGTTTCAGACACTTGGTCCTCCCTGCCCACCCAAGGGAGAGGTATTAGGGCTTTTATTCAAAACTATTTTCATTCTCCTTTTTCTCTTTCTTTGCATTTGTTAGTTTTGTCTTACTCTCTACATTACTGTATATGCTTAAGATTTCCTGCTATCTTTTTATTTTAAGAAAAAGATTTGTTTGGTGTAGTGGACAACATGGTTAGGAACTTCTCAGCTTCAAGACCGCTGAAGTGCATTTTGTAGTGTGATAGGACAATATTGACTACAGCACTCTCATTCACATTCCTTTTTTTTTTTTTTTTTTTTTTTTTTTTTTCATTTGAAAGTAAACCAGGCTTTGAAGTGGTGTTTAGTTGAGGAGTTAAATAAAGAGCAAAAACTTTGCATGCACATATAAACCTGTGTTATGGTGTTTCTGACCCTATCACCCTACCAGCTAGCTGCCCCTCAAAGATATGGTTTCAAAGCATCGCACAATGATGGTTTAAGCAGCAGTATAGGGTATTAAACAACTGCAGCAGTATTTTGAAGCAATGTAACATCATGAGTGTTGTCAAGACATAAAGCATTGTATGAGTTTTTACACTATATTAAGGAAATAGGAACTGAGAGCTTATTTCATTCTAGAGTCTGCTCTGTTAGTTCCTAATCTGGTTATTTGTTTCTAGTTTTTTTTATCATTATTATTATTATTATTTGCATCATCTTCATCTTCACTCACAATGAAAGTGCTATTAGTATCTTGCTTTAGTTGCTAGTCAGTATTCTTACACCTTGCTCTTTGTACTTAATTAGTTCATTTCTCCAATTTCTATTTTCTTAGTAGTCTCATTGATATATTATTTTCCATTGTACAGTCTGGGACTAAAGTCTTCAGAGAGGTTATGCATGTTTTGTTTATTGACCAGAGATGGTACTGCAATCACTGTGTAGTAATGGGGTTGATTCCTGAATGGAGGAGGGAGAAGGCCAGAGTTGGGTTGTAGGGATTCATTACGGTACTTCAAACGTGTCTGAATCAACGAGATCAAGGAAAATACGAGGGCATTGATGAACTCCCACTCATCTAGCGTAGCTCTATCTCTGGACAATAAACAAAACAGCAAAACCTTTCTGAGGACTTTAGTCCCAGACTGTATTAAATGCCCAAATATTAGGACATGTTGGGTAACTACAACACCACAAACACAATAAAAGATTTCTGCTTCAAAGAATTAATTAGGAGGCCAGTATCATCTACTTCACCCATTTCCTAGACATTGATTACTCCTTTCTTTTCTCTGTATTTGAAATCTGAATTGTTGTGTTATTCCCATTATGTATGATATTTTTAAATAATGGGTGTATATAGGGTATTTTTATCAGCTCTTGAGTATTGGTCCAGTGAAATCTTGATAGTGAGTAGCATCTAGTTTTTTGTGTTTTTAAAATCATAAGTATCATCTGGTAACATTTTTATGATAGATTATAGAATATTAATGATAAGTTATGGAAAATGTGGATTTGACAATAAAGTAATCAAATGTTTTGTGAACTTCTGTTCAGTAAGACATGTTTGAAAATAATTTTTGCATTATCTTACTAGTAAAAGTTGGTACATATGTCTCTCAGTATCTTTCTTTCTTATGCTCCTTGTACTCAGCTTCAAGTTAATAGATCTTATTTTTTCAGCGGGAAGGAGTTCCTCCAGATTATGACAGACATAATCCTGAGCATCGACACATCTATAAATTTGTGCGCACGTTATTTAATGCAGCACAACTCACTGCTGAATGTGCAATTATCACACTAGTCTACCTTGAAAGGTAAGGGCATCTTTTATATGGAATAAGTCTTAAGTCTTAATACATGCACACACCCACACACATGCACACACACACACACATGCACATATACACACATATATACACATGCAAACACACACACGCATACACATACACACATGCACACATACACATATACAGTTACACACACACACACATATACACATACAGTTACACACATATACACATACACACATACCCACACACATACCACCCCCCCACATACACACACATGCAAACACATGCACACAGTTCTTTAGTACAGTACAGTTCTTACATATTGTTAGATACAGAGAGGATTGAGTTGTGGGTGGTTTAGTCTGCTAGTCAGGGGTTATGTTAATGTGTATAGTTCATTTTGAAAGGGAAAAATTGGGTTAGAAAGTGAAGGAATATGTATAAAAACTGAAAAAGATAGTGTGGCTTTGTGAGAGAAGGTAAGGGAGGTGAGAAGTGAAAGCAAATCCAGCATGGTAAGCATTTTGCACCTAGAGACAACTGTCATGAATACAGCTCTGTTTTTGTCTTTTTTTTAATGAGTAACAACTAAGATCAGACAAGAAAAATGAAGTTAGCAGAAGCAGCAGTTAGCAAAGAGACAACCTGGTAGCAGAATGCCTGAAAATTTGTGAAGAAAATGTAATTCTGTAGGTATTGGTAGATAATTTGTGCAGGAACACGAGCATTCAGATAAAGAATATGGAAAAGTCTAACGTGAAAATCAAGGAACTCAAAGCAAAGTTAGAAGAAGCAGAAACCAAGACTGGCAGCAGTAGTGAAACAGAAGCAAAGAATCTGTAAGAAAAAGTTGAGGAAGTAATCAGAGTACAAGAAACTGTTAAGCAGATTGAAAGCAATTTGTCAAGCAGCCAGGCTCCAGTTCATGGAAGAGGCAAACAAGATGTCAGCTACATATGCTGATGTCACAGAGATAAAAGAAACAGTAAATGAAATGGAAAGAAAGGTAGAAAATGACATCAAAATCACAAAAGAAGAAATTAAGATACAGCTTGCAGAGACAGTAATGAAGAACAAATTCAAATCCCACCCTGGGCAACATGCAAGGAATATTGCTAGTTTTGCAGATGTACATAAGAACATAGTCATATTGGGACATAAAGAAAAAGTTGTAGAAGATGGAATTGAACGATACAAGGAGGGCGAGAAATTGATAGTAAATATTCTCAAGGTCATAAATCCTGAATTCGTGGATAGAATATCATAGCTCACAGGTGGCAGGAATTATTTGAAAAGGGAAAGAAACGCCCTTGAAAAGTAACATTCATGAATAAGCAGATGGTAACGAATATAATAAAGAAAGCCAAAGTCATGGCTACCCACGAAAAATATAAAAAAATCTGGATAAGAGAAAATATAACCAAAGATGTCAAAGAAACACTACAGAAAAAAATTGGAAAAGAACGAAAAGCAGCAAAGGACTGAAGAGGAAAAAGATCTAGCGTATTTGGTGGGTGAGAGGTCTCCAAGCAAAGCAAATATACTATCAGAACCAAAACATAGTGACAGACAAACATTAACCCTGCAGCCAAGAGGAATACCAAAAGATTATATAGAAATAGTTTATACAAATATTGATGGTCTGTCTTCAAAGTTACTAGAACTAGAGACAATAATCAAAATGAATAAACCAGATGTAAGATGCATCACTGAATCCATAGTGGATCCCTCCATAGATGATGTAACATTAGGATGCAAAAACTATGATATTTGGAGAAAAGATTGGGCCGAGGAAAATGGAGGGGGTTAGCAATATTAACAAGGGAAGGAATTATTACAAAGGAGTTAGAAATTGATCAAGACCCCATAGTGGAATTGAAGGTAATCAAAGTTTGTCAATGATTTAAAGTCAAACATAAGCCAAGGTAGTTATTTGAATATGTTTGCAGATAATTCAAAGATACAAAGAAGGATAACAGACAACATATCATACCAATGCCTTTAAAGTAACATCGAGAACTTATTCACATGAAGTTGTACATGGAAAATGGAATTCAATACCAATTAATGCCACGTAGTCAGGTTCGGGAAAGTAGAAATCACCCACTATTCCAATATAAATTAGGAGATGCAATATTAAACACAGCTGACAGGGAAAAAGATCTTGGGGTAATCATAAATAGAAACTTAAACCCAAATGATCATAAAAATGAAAAGGTCCACAAAATGCTAGGGCTGATTGCCAACATGAAGAGGGCATTCATGTATGTGGATGAAGATATGGTAAAGAAGATTATTATAGCAATCATAATACCAAGTCTTGAGTATGGTCCACACTTAAAGAAGAATATGGACAAACTGGAAAGACTTCAAAGAGCAGACACAAGATGGGTACCTTCTCTAAGAGATATGAGTTATGAAGATAAGACTACAGAAATTAGAACTTACTACCTTGGAAGAAAGAAGGAAAAGGGGGGACAATTATGCTGTTCAACTGTATTACAGGAAGAGTGAAGTTAGATAAAGATGAATTTTTAACCTTGAATATAAGAAGAACAAGAGTTCGCAACAAAAGGTTGAAAGTAGAACGAGGTAATAAAGATGTCAAAAAATTTAGTTTCCCAGGCAGAACTATTGAAACATGGAATAGTCTCCCCAGAAACATAGTATGTGCCAAAAAAGTACATCAATTTAAAAAGTTATACGACAATTTAAACATAGCAGACAGGACCACCTGAGCTTAGCTCTTCTCCCCCATTTAAACAAATAAGAACAATTAGGTAAGAACACACACCTACACAAACACAGATAGATAGATAGATAGGATTGTCAGATGGTTGTTTGGTCAAGAAGTGTCTTTTTTGTTGGGAGATAGAGAAATTATAATTGGTGTTAAGACATTACTCGGTATACAATTGATTTCAAATATAAATAATTTTTATTCATAAGGAATATTACATTCATTGCTGTATTTTCTTGTAATTTTAGATACATCTGGTATTAAGAGGAGTATTCAAAACTACTGAAAATGGTATTTAGAAAATGCAGAAATATGTGACCCAGAGGAGTTACACTTTCCGATTGAGGATTATATGGCATTTGTTATTTTGTTTTTCATGTTTTGAAGAATCTGTAGATATTAACCCCGTGGATACGGATGACGTTGCGATCATGTCAAGGAAAAACTTGGCCAGCTACATGGGTGACATGAACAAAACGTCGAGAGCGAAGGCTAGGGTGACGGAAAAGACTCGCCACGTGTGCGCAAAACCTCTTGGAGTGTGATTTGACTCATTTGGCACTTAGAAGGGGGCTTTAGCATTATTCCCATTGACAAACGAGTGTGGAATATAGCATGCGTAAGCAGTGACTGGAAGAGCGCCGGCTCCAAGGAGGACATCATTTCAATGCTGTGCACCGTATTCCTGGCCGCTCTAACTGGCGACGCAGATTGTATTACGTAAAATTGAAAATTAAAAAAATATATATATATATATATATATATATATATATATAATATATATATATATATATATATATATATATTACGCAACCAAATATTCCATATATTTATTTCTTGCACTGAGCTATTTACTATGTAGAGAGATGATATGGAGTCTGTGCAAGGAAAATACGTAATTACCATCTGGTAAAACTAATTAAAAGACAAATATGGACATTGGAAAATGGCAATAAAAGCTCAAAAGGTTTTCACAAAAGAACTTCTCAAAGGGGAGGCACAGAATCTTGTCACTGTACATGGGTGTTCGTGCGCACCTGGCCTATGTACTGCATGCCCTGGATGCTGGCCACTTACATAATCATTCTAACTGGATCCAGTGGGTTAAAGTTCATGCTGTAACAAAATACATATATATAATATATATATATATATATATATATATATAATATATTTATTATATATATATTATATATTATAATATATATATATATATATATATATATATATATAAAAATTTATGTATATATATAATATATATATATA